CATTCAATGAAAGAATTGTGTCACTACCATTTTTGTTATGGAATTATATAATCTCTAAAAATTCTCTCTTTTTTCTTCAGACAAAAAAATGAGCGTGAATACGGTACAAATTCCAAAGACATTACCGATCGTCCCCATTAAAAACAAAGTATTATTTCCTGGCACTGCCCTTCCTCTCCAAATTGGCCGCAAAGATACGGCTCAACTTATGCAAAGAATTTATAAATCTGTAGATAACAAAGATTCTAAATACTTAGTTGGATGCGTCCCAGTTAAGCCTCCGACCCCTACTACGACAAATTCGGAGCAAACCAACACTTTTTCAAAGAAAGTAAATGAGGAAATTCTTAATCAATCAACGCCTACTTCAGAATTACATGAATATGGTTGTGCTGCACGTATCATTCGACTGGAAAGACCAGTCGGAGGGATTGGGGGCAGATTCTTCGTAGTTGTAGAAGGTATAAAGCAAGCAAAAAACTTTGTCCAAAGATATTACTATATCTACAATAATTCTGCTAACTATACTATTTTAAATCTAGGCATTGCACGAATACACATCGATAAATATGTCTCCGGTGGCCCTTACCTCGAAGCTGAGGTAACAGTGTATCCAGAGCCAGGTATTGTACATCTTCAGTTCGTATCGAGTCCATTCTAATTAAATTACTGTTTTTTGTGTATTATTGATGAAAAAGCTAACTTACCAGCTTAAACTCGTGTTTGTTAAGTTATGCCAAATGACGATCAGGAATTACAAGATTTAGCTATTTCTTTGAAGTCAACTGGCCGCGAACTCTTTATTATTTTACAAGATTTAAAGCTTCCCGTACAAATGCTAACACAACTTCAGAGATTCATTGACGGTGTTTCTGCTGGATCATTGGCAGATCTACTGGTCAGCACGGTCGAGCCCCCTTATGAAGAAAAATTGGTATTCAACTTGGCACTTTGTTACGTGGTTTATACTGTACTGTACTATGTTATGTAACCGACAAATATTTTATTTACTTAGAAAATTTTAGATGCCCATGATTTAAAAACCAGAATGATAAATGCCATAGATATCGTGACTAGACAAATCCAAGTACAGTTATTACATTGTATTTAATCTGCTAATATATAAATATGATTAAGTTGTAACATTCTGTCTTATATCATAGGTACTAAAGATTTCTCAAAAAATTCACTCCACTGTCAAAGGAAAGCTTGATAAGAAACATAAAGAATTCTATTTGAGGCAACAGGTAAACACTGAAATTAATTATGAAAAATTACTTAGTTTTATTGTTTTTGTTGTGAATTATAATCTTATAAATACGTTACTACATAGCTTAATGCCATTAAAGAAGAATTGGGTGAACGTGATGACGCATCCACTGAAGGGGATGACATTGCAGATTTAACGAGGCGATTACAAGAAGCCGGACTAACGCCAGAAGGTAACGTACCATTACCACTTAAGCAATTTTCTTTTTCGTTAAGTAAAAAAAAACAAATATATATATTTATGTTCTACTATTAAATTTTAATAGCTGATAAGGCAGCTCAGCGGGAATTAAAGCGACTCAAACGTATGCATCCGACACAAGCTGAATATCAAATAGTTCGCACTTACCTCGAATGGCTTTCTGAAATTCCATGGAGTAAAGGCACGTCCGATACAATAGACATTGATAAGGCACGTTCACAACTCGAAGAAGATCATTATGGTCTTGAAGCTGTAAAAAAACGTATATTGGAGTTTCTTGCAGTATTAAAACTGAAAAATGATATGAAAGGACCGATCTTATGCTTATTAGGTCCACCTGGTGTGGGTAAAACTTCACTAGGAAAAAGCATTGCCAATGCACTTGGCCGTAAATTTCATAGAATATCTCTGGGAGGTGTCAGGGATGAGGCTGAAATTCGTGGACATCGTCGAACTTATCTAGGTGCTATGCCTGGGCTTATAGCACAAGGACTTAGAAGAGTAGGAGTCAATAATCCTGTCTTTTTACTTGGTATGCATTGAGCTCTCACTCTATTCATATGATTAGCCGTTCAAACTTTTGCTAGTTTAACACCATATAATTCTATACAGATGAGATAGATAAAGTAGGGCATTTGAGTTTGCATGGTGATCCGTCGGCTGCATTACTGGAAGTACTTGATCCAGAGCAGAATAACACTTTCAATGATCATTATCTTAATGTCCCACTTGATCTATCAAAAGTGCTCTTTATTGCTACAGCTAACCAAATCGACCCTATATCTCCACCATTACTTGATCGAATGGAACTAATCAGAATTTCTGGCTACACATTCGAAGAGAAAGTTCATATTGCTAAACGACATTTATTACCAAAACAAATAAAATACCATGGTTTGGAACCTGGATATGTTAATATTTCGGATGAGGTCTTGCTAAAAATTGCTACCGGTTATACTTGTGAAGCTGGTGTCAGAAACTTAGAGAGAGAGATTGCTGGAGTGTGTAGAGCTAAAGCAGTTGAATATGCTTACGCGAACGATAATGGAAAAAAAGATACATATCGACCAGAAGTTACAATAAATGACATAGTGACTATTCTTGGGGTGAGGATTATACTCAGTTATTTCATATTGGAGAATATCATTTATTAACCTTTGCCATTGGATAATTACTAAACTTTTTACGCTAAAGGTGGAAAAGTTTAACAATGACATAGCTGAACGCACAACGAATCCTGGTGTTGTCACGGGTCTAGCATGGACAGCAACCGGATCTGGTGGTATTTTATTTATCGAAGCAACTCAGATGCCTGGAAAAGGCAATCTTCAGTTGACAGGTAAAGTTTTCCCACTAATTAATTTATTTATTCGTCGTTTACAATTTGAAATGCCGTCCTAGTCGTTAATATTGTTTTATTTAAAAGGTAAATTGGGCGAAGTTATTAAGGAATCCGCTCAAATTTCTATTTCATGGGTACGGGCACATTCATTCCAGTTGGGCATTACGACAGCATCTACAGAATCAACATTCTTCTCTCAAAGAGACGTTCACATACATTTTCCTTCCGGAGCCGTAGCCAAAGATGGCCCATCAGCTGGTGTCGCCTTAATAACGGCACTTGTTTCTTTATTTACGCATAGATGTGTGCCTCCTACAACTGCTATGACCGGTGAAATTACATTACGTGGTCAAGTGCTTCCCGTAGGTGGTATTAAAGAAAAAATTATCGCAGCACATCGTGCTGGCATTAATAAAGTTATTCTGCCTTCACGAAATCGTAAAGATGTTGATGGTGATGTACCAGTAAATGTAAAGGAAAACATTAAAATTGTGTATGTAGATAATGTTTACGATGTTCTACAGGCTGCATTTGATGGAAAAAAAATATGGATGGAACTTTCTTCAATTGTAGGAGTCGAGAGTCGGCTTTAAAATGATTTTAATGACATTTATAACATTACAAGATTAAATTATCATCACAAAAAGTTAGTTTTTCATTTACATCGAATTTCAGGCTTTTAGATTACAAAAAAAAAAAAAAAAAACAAAAAATTGTAAACTTCAACCTAAGCAATATATATATATGTATTTATATTATGTATAATAAAATATAGGGGAATTTACATATAATGGCCTGAAAAATGAAGTTAATTACAAATAAGGGTCCAAAATGAAAATAACTACATATTAGAACCAGTGTTATAAATTCAATATGCACAAAAAGTGCACTTTATAAATTTATATACGGAGAGCAATTTACTGCGCGGATTTAATTTTCATCACTGATTAGCGTTAGGACCCAAATTTTACAGTCAAGGTCCAAATTTATTATAACTATATAATTAGAGCTTTTGCGGTTCGATGTTTCATAACTAATTTCGGTGCAGAATAGAACATTACAATATTGATATGGAAAAATATTGATAAGGAAAATTCTAGCCAGCCTGATCATATGACTTTGGGTCACATAGGGTTGGGCGGTATTTTTAATTAGTGTCTCAAAGCAAGTTTAAATATTTTTTTTCGTCCTTTGTTGTTTTGGCCGGAATTGATTTTTTAATTTTTTAATCCCAAAAATGCGGGTCGGCTAAACGGAGCGAGGTTTAAGGTTATCTTTTTGATGCAGTTAGAGTTGTGGATTTTATAGATATCAAGAATGCAATTTATGTAATACAGTCCGACGATTTACCAAATTAGGGGGACGTCTAAAGCGGAGGCAACTTATATTTAATAATTTTTTCGATTAATTTAGGGTTAGGGTCTTCTATATT